TAGAGTATCTGAACATCTGAATGTTGTCTTTGAATTTGTGTCTGTCATCATTTACATTCAAATACCATTAAGAATTTACGTGAGTGGAGAAAAATCAATGTAACGAATGATAGCCTCATCTTATTCTTGATGTTTGATGGTTTGTTTATGTTTTATCCCCAAACACCACTCATGATGTTGGGTAGAATTCTCAATATCTCATACAGTATGGAATCTACGTCACTCAACAGCAACAATAAATATGACAGAAAACACTACAGAGTATAGAAAATGACAAATTTTAATCACTTGTAATTGATCACAATAAATTACAAACAAGCGAAGGTCAATGAGCTGTTTATCTTGTTAATAACATGAACAGTCATAGTTTTCACGGTTAACACCATATCTGTCACATAAAACGTGTGTCGAAACCAGTGTCATTGAGTGTTTCAACTTAATCAGGTGAGCGAATAAACTTTTTAATGAATGAAAAGTGTGACAACATGTGATATTATGGATTAAGACCAATTTTTGCGTGAGTTCAAGTGTATGTAGACTACAATAGTACCAGGCTGACCAAGTGCTGTGTTACTCGTCCTACTGAAAACCTGTAATAACCTTTAGAACAAGAATGTTTCGATTCGGTTACGTTTCTGAGACTCGTGATTTCTTGATAAGCTTGCAGTGTGCTACCAGACAAAACGTTCAAGTTGAGTAATATGAAAATGAATGCGAATATTAAATTGGTGGATTGTCTGCGGTCGAGGATTTTAGTTTCAGTAATGTTCTTATATAGCCACAGTCGTTTGTTCGATGTCTTTTGTTTACGACGTTGACGTTTGCGATAGGTAGTGAGTTTAGTGTGCGCTAACGATCGCCTATTCTGTGTCATTATTAGTAGTAGTACCTGTATTGGTCGACTGGTTGACTTTTAGCCACTAAAATAGTTTCGTATCGTCAACTGTCGACGAGCCACATGTTGACGAGAGAAACATTGAAGATGATTCCATTATCTATGGTGAGAACTTTGCTGTGAACTAAACATGCTCCAAGTCGTCAGTATCACCCATTTAAACGTTGACTTCACTCAGGAAAGTTGAATCTGAATCAACGTTTCATTACCTCGATGTTCAACTCGAAGGAATACTGACAACTAGATAAGAATACGGATCTACAGAAAAAATTCAAATAGAATGGACATTTTATTAACATTTTAAAACTGTGTGTCTCCAGGTAGAAAGAGAAATACATTACACTCCGCTTCCTCGAAGATCCAGAAAATCAACACTTGGTAGTCAGATGATGGAGAAACGAGAAATTGTGGAGTGATTTTGACGGAGGGTGGGTTCCCTCTGAGATTTATCGACAAGAATCTACAAACAGCGAGAACGCTGAAAGGGTCCGAGTCGCCCTCGAAATATTTTGATACTCAACCTTGATTTTAAAAGTGATACTGGAGCTGAAATTCTCCGTTGGCGGCTGTTGAATCGCCTCAGTGAAACGTGCCTCACCACCAACCTACCTGTGTTATTATCCTGCAGAAACTTCATAATCATCACGTTGCTGTTGCGATGAGCCACTTCAGCATGCATACACCCGTTCACTCTCTTGTGTGAATCTGAGAAAATTGGGCTGTACTTTGCAACTCCTTATAAAATGCGCTCAGGAACATTATCCAGCATGGTTATATTGGGAGGATGCAAGCCTGTATACAGATAGGTAAAAGAACATCTGGCGAATTCAGGATACTCAGGTCCGTTGGAAAAGTCTTTCGAAGCCATACACACGTTCTGATCAAACCAACCAAGAGAAATAAAATCAAGATACCTGGACATAAACGAATCACTAGCGATCCAATTTTTCGAGCCCACTTTATGCATTTTACAGTGATCAGTCTAAATGTTGTCGACACCGTGGCCACCAAGAAAAGTCAGTTTAATCAAAATGCATAATATAGTATATTTCATATTGATATGAATTAAAGTGAAGTGTGTATGTGTGAACTCAAATGATCTGTATCTTTCCGCAATCTCAAATTCACGGGAATTTGTTACGTGACTAAGAGCGATTTTAATCTTTTGGGACTTGATTGGTTCGATCGTTTGCATCTGGTTGATGTACCACTAAATTCTCTATGCAATGCAGTCAAGAAACATAAAATGTCAGACAATTCCGGACGAAGCCGAAAACCCAACAGGCAGACGAAGCGACAGACGTGAACAACCAGCCCAACGGTTCCAGATAAACCCCCAGGGAAACACGCTACCAATCATCAATCTTCTCAAAACGGGAGGTGATGCGTATCCATATGATGTGTGTTTTGTTTTTGACAGTCTGTTATATTTTGCTATGTGTACATGGATCGATATTCCATTAAAACTGACATTATGCTTTTTTCTGTCCACTAACTAAATAAACAATTCATGATCTTGTTATCGCATGACATTACAACCAATCATGGTAAGACCTTATGTTATTGGTTCATGTGTATTAGCCATTTTCATATATACTCTTGCCTTTTTATTCTTGTTCTGACTTATTCCCACGTTACGTACATTGCGTACCATTTTACTTACACACTTGTGTGACATTTATTTTCGTTGTCTGGAAAATACAAGTATCATCGTAAACCTGGTGGTCTTCTGATTTCCCTCTTTCCGCTTCAGGACTATCAACTCATCGACGAGTACATAATAGGTTGCTAGCCAAGATACCCGCCTCACTTCAACATCTTTAATTGTTGACAAATCTTTACATTCGTGGTTTCAAAATATTCGATATGAATGAGGGAGCTGCTGATTTTTCTTTGAATTAGTTTAGGTGTATTTTTTAATATATGGAGCCATCGTCACGAATTGATTCGGTGTGTTCATGCACAACAAGTGTGAAGGATAAGCCACAACTGCTCGCCTCAGCCCTGTACACCTATCAAATTAACTGCTCGTGCGGAACTAGATTTCTCCGTCAAACTCCTCAAACGCTCTACCAACATGTCATCAAATACTCACCCACAAGCTGATATAAATATTCGAAAAGACACAATCACCACAGCTCCATCCTGGAATAACTGATCGAATTTAAACACAAACTGAACCTATAGAACATCTTCCAAATTATCCATAGAATTCTTTTGAACATTGTCGAGGAATATGCATGAAATTTCTTCCGAGAGTCGAAGCAAAGGCTATTCACTTGTTGAATCCTGAACTCTGCATACGCAATGTATTTAACTTGTCATACAATCTGCAATGAGATTGGTGTTTCTTAACACTGGATAGGCGACTTGAGATGTTGTCTCTTAATTATATGATTCTCTCCCAAAACTCTCCTATTGAATATCTATCCCTAACCACTAATATTCTCACTCTGACTCTCGTTAAATTTTCGTTGAATTCTAATCAACCAATGGATTTGTGAAACATTACTCAACTACTGAATCAGCCCATTTGGGATTTAAGATTGTTACTGTTCCTTGCATCTCATATCGTCACTTCACTGATGAGTAGAATTGTTCCTGCCAACGACGGAACTAATGACTGGTCGAGTGACTGCATACCTCTTTAACCAAGTTGTTTCTACTATAGAGGACCACAAATGATTTCTACAGAATTAAGTAGTGTCTAACTGTTTCTACACAACCAACAGATAACATACTATCTCTTCACCAATGACACCTCATTCTCGAATCACTCATCTTGGCACAAGCGGGGCAATCTTCAGATGTAGTAGACTATACATACTGCCTGGAGCAAGTGACTGTCCAGGAATCCTACCAGTAGCTACCGGGAACCATATGAAAAGAAAAGTGAGGAGGAGAGGACATCATCATTCCAGGTGATTCGTGAAAAGAACGCTTCTCAGAAGACAGTTCATATTGAAATGAAAGTAGAGAAGGTTAAATGAGACTGTGAATTCCCATGACCGCTGTGGAATTCATGATACTAATACAAGTAGAAATCAAGTCTGATATTAGGTATCTTTGACCAAGGCTTTCTTCTCATCTACTCTGATCTTCTTACGACTTATTGATTTCCAAACCAATGTTTCCTCTCACATTCTACATTAAGAATTTAAGTCACTCGGGTACAACTCATTCACTTCTCCTCTCACAGATTGTCAACACTCGCATCTCACCAACTCTTCTTTCATTGTACACCCTTATTCTTCCCTGAATTGGTTAAGAAGGAACACGTCATACTTCGTAGAACTTTAATGGTTGTTAATGAAGTGAGTTGCATCTTGTTGGATCATATACTAGACGTTGTCATTGATAGACATATTTTCTCATGCATTATATTTGAAAAAGAGATTTAATCAGTCTGTGAACATGCATTACATCCGCCGATTTTACCTTGTGCCTCCTGAAGTAGAACAAGAAGTCATTTCATGAGACTGTATGCGCGCACGTTTCACTAAAAGATTCCAACGTAGCAATTTTGTCCCGTAAGTTATGTGATGCAAATAATATCAGGCACGAACTAGTTAACTAACTTACTTATCAACGGTTAATGGAAAATTTTCTCCACAGTTATAAAATCAAGCTTCACTTTTGTTACATTTTTTATATTACCACCCATGTGATTGTGCTTTAGTTATATTCTCATAAGTGACAACGTCACCTGACCATTGTGTCAATCGTTAGGCTCAGCAAGCCAAATACTGTTTCGTCGCGAAGCAGTTCGTCATCATTAACCAGGTATATATCTCAGTACTTCATCTCTTCCTCTTCCATAATCTGGAATTCTTGATTCGTTTCAGTACCCATAGTGTGATGTGTGACTGCATTTCATTCACCAGGAAGTTCATTTCACACTGACTGCTTGAAGATAATACGCAGTTCTATTTTGATGCATATTCACTGTTACTAACGTGTGTGTGTCTAATTCTCTCGAGATGTGCGTCATTAACCGTCTTCACAAATGAACGGTGACGGCTGCTGAAAATTTCACATCCTATTCCAATCCACCTGAGTATTTATCGAATTACAACATAAGAACAATGAGGGGATTGCGAAACAATTATTATTATTAAAAGAAAAACATTAAGTTAAAAGTAATGAATATTGTTGATTAGGAAAGTTGAACGAAATTCTAATTGTCTATTCTAACTGATCGATATGCACGGCATCATTATCTGCAAAGAACAGGAATAAAATGATGATATGAGACTCAAAAGTAGACAGCAGATTCTGTGTAATGGGGTACATAACACAAAATGTCTCATAATTATTCAAACGGTGTCAGAGGAAATGGAGATATATACCGCCTGTGGGAAATGCATCTAATGATGACTTCGGAAACACTGTCTTGTATTTCCGGAAGCTAGAACCGAAGCGTTTGCCTGATGCAGACTACAATATGGTTAACTGACTTCATTTTTTTCACGATACCGAATCATGACGTGCACAGAACATTATATTTCGAAATGGATTTCTGCATATGGACAACATTTCAAATTGCGGTATGATAATTTCTATTAGTGTTGTCACTATTTGTGTTACATGTTTTATTATTATTATTCGTGTACCCTTGGGTTTAGAAGGGGGTTAAAGCGTCTCAATACCACATATGCATTTCGTACTGTTCCGTACAGTCGTCTATAGCTGACTAATGGATTTCCAATCGCCTCATAACTCCTCCTCAAATCCTGCACACGGCTCTATCCGAAGCAGAACATGTCCCCCCGATTAGAGAAGCAGTCAAGTGATGGAGTGGCGCACGATGTCATCCAATCACCTCCTCACACCATCTTCCATCCATCTCCACTATAACCTGAATGTGAGAATGTGTGCAAACTGATTTCAGAGTGATTTAAATCTGTCTCACATTTCCAATTCAAACTGGGTTTCACGTTCTCATTCGTGTCACCTGAATTTAAAAACGACACTCCTCAGCCAAATCTTTTAGGAAACCTGTAACTGTTGTTAATGGTAATGTTGGTTTGTTGGTTGGTTGGTTGGTGTGTTGGTATAAACCGCCCTCAAAATGATTGAAGGTCATCAAAAAATGTCAGGCTGATTATCGCTTTCCACTGAAATCCTTCAGCATTTCCATTTCATTGCATTCTGTTCCTCAATACAATGATACAGAGTGCTAACTCAAAAATAAGATACAGATATGTAAACAGTGCATGTTCAGTGTTTGCTTACCAGTCATCTGTGCTCATATTGTCACGGTAACTACAATCAAGTGTGCAGACAGAAAAATGAATGTAAGTCGATGTATGCTCAATTTGAACATTACAAATTCAGATGAATTATATAAAATGGCTTCTAACTTGAACGTTAGTGACTGAAAAGTCCGGGTATGCGAGTTACTCGAGATAAAATCACACATTCGTTGAAGTGTGACAGAAAATTCCATTCAAGCATTGTGACTCACTGACGTGTATAGAATTGGTGAAAGTAACTATTGTGCTGCCAAGAAGACATCATTTCCAAATAAATGAGTCCCTGATGGTGTGATTTCTGACGTTTCAATGTATATGAATACTAAGCCTTCTTTCATCAATGCACATCATTTGGAAATGGCAGCATGAGTAGAAGCAGAAAGCGGGATGTAAAATCATCAGATGTGTCAATGTGAATGTGAATGGCTACTTGTTCTCGTTTACTCAACAAATTCATCAATCTCATTTCCATTCGGATATACATGAAGATAGGCAGAACTATGCAATAACAAGGAAAGGTAATAGCACCAACACTAATTCCATCCATCCAAACAGTCATTCGTATATGGAGAAACCTACTCACATAGCTGTCTCGAATCTGTCCACACATAATAAAATATTTTTCACCTCAATGTGCACATTTACTTGGTACTACGGTGCAACATCATTCATACATACCGTAGTTGGGTGTGACGTTGTTGGCATTGGAATAACCACTGGGTGGGGATTACATCCAGCGAAATTCTGCCGCATAACCCATCTTTTTCATCAAACTGCTATAACACTTGCAAGAGTACATCAGTGATAACATGATAACATCCAAATGACAGGTTGAACAAGAATCATTATCAAGAAAGCTTACATGTTTGATTGAGACCGAGTGAGCTGAGTACTGAAAATAAAGGATTCATTGAGATATGCATAACTTTTGAACAAACGAATTTCTTGTGGAGCATTATTTTCTGTCGAAGCTGAATATAACAATGCAGATATGCCCAGAACACAACAGAGTTCGAACTGATATGTATTGCTGAGAGCTGGTATTTTCTACACTAGCGTTTCTTGAATGAGCAAGTGCAAACAAGTGCAATGAATATATGACTCTATGAATGGCAGACATAAATCTTTGCATTCACAGTCATCCCTCCTTGTTTTCTCAGTAGAGAAACAGTAGGGCAGGCGATCAGTAATACACCGTTACTGCATACTCGAGCAACTGCAATACAGAACCCATAGAATACAGCGGATTACCATGTTAATAACAGAGTTGGCGATCACGTTCCACTGTGACTCATCACTAATAACTCCAGTTATGAATGAATCAACTGAATTTTCACACTTATGTTTATACTTCGTAATCAGAGAAAAGTCAACATGCTGCATGGTTTTTTTAAACAATCGGTAATCAAAGTCACTTACCTGGAGCTGCTACTCTTGTCCAGAAGAAGGATTCTGTATACGAGAAGAAAGAGTGTTTATATTTGTGATGACTAACAGCATAAATTGTGCACTACCTGGCAAAAGACTCATACTGACTGAATGAAATTTAACTCATTGGATTTCAATGTTGACAGTATTTACAAACTGTCTTTAATATTGCAGGTGGAAACGCATCCATACCCTATCACGTACAAAGAAAGACATTGAGCAAATCATAAGATTCTCCCTACGAGTTTTGATCCAATAGGTTCCCTTTGATTGGGATGAATAATAACGAATGAAATATCCTACATATGCAAAAAGATAAGCATATATATATTTACATATATGCCAATATGTGGGAAACAATCGTTTTGACTAACAAGCAATTAACTTGTGCTCATCATGTCATATAATTTTCACCGGCACACCTTTCATTATTAACATCAAGAGTTGTGGCAATGGAATCGGAAGAAGAAGAATTCAACATGCGAATTCTCGCTTGCAGTGCAAATGAAGAAATAACGATGAAATTGATATCGAGAAGGTCAAAAGAAAAGCGTGAAAAAGCAAAACATACTTAAAAACCTCACAAAGTTCTCTTGAAATGAATGAACTACAAAAATTGAAGAGGAGAAAACCAGAATGAACAGAGATATATGAAAGCAAATATTATCCGGAATCACGTGAAAATATCAAGCTTGAGAAGAATGAGTGCGAAATTCGTTGACAGTAACCTTCACAAAATATAAGGGAAATACATTGCGAAAACAAACTTTCTCATAACTAAGTCTTACCAGTGGCTCGCATAAAATTTTGCAGATTTTCAACTAAATGAGAAAAAAAAGTGAAGTTCATACAAAATATCGATTAGCTGTCAAAGGGCGCGTTAATAGAACGATACAAATGGACGCAGTCAGACAGTTATGACTGCCTCAAACCTACGAATACCAATACAATTAACCTCTTGCGCATTAGCACAACCAGCCTTAATATGTGATTGTTAGAAACGAGACTCACGATCCTCGACTGTCAAAGTCTCTTCTACAGCAACTGTTGAAAACAAAAGATGGAAAAAAATGTGTTGAACAAATAGAAAATCACGCGATTGCTACGTTAACCTGTGTGAATGTATGCTGTGAGCACACGAACTGTGATAAAATGTGGAGTTTAAACTTGTTAACTGCAATGTGCATGCTGTGGAGTAGAAAATCTCACACAGCCAAAATATTACACTAAAGACAATATTTCGCTTCCAACTCTAGATCGAAGGCACATCTCAAACAGCAATGCATTTCACAAATTTGAGAAACACGAGGAGCGATCAATCCAACCACCATTTTTACACCGTCACTCATCAACATTACCAAAGACAACCAACGACACAATGCAGATCAAGTAAGTAATCTTCGTATTACAGACTGACTGTGGAGCATAGAATGACCGCCATCCACTCAAGCGGTAGGGGTTAGACACTAAACTGACGCACTCGGGACACTTCTACTTGTTCACTTTCCGCGGGTAAAGACGGCTCGCAACTCCACCTCGTCAAACTAAAAATGCAACTGAAATTTTGAAACCTGGTGGCCATGAAAGCATCAAGTGACTGTTACCAATCCACCAATGCGCTCACTCATGTGATAATATCAAGTTTGATGAGATTGAGTTCTTAGCTGATTGACAGAATATTTGATAACATTTCAGTGGTTTATACTCCTCAGATACTTATTGCATAAATATGACTTACCAGCGTCGTCCAGAATTGTCGTCGTCTCTGTAGCTGAATGACGACAATTTGAAATTCGTACAAAATATTGATTAGCTCTCAGAATACATGTAAATGAAACAACACAAATGCATGCAGTTGGATATTTCCAACCGTCTCAAACCTACGAATATCGATGCCCTGAACGTGTTTCGAATGAGTACAACCATCATTGATATGTGAGTGTTCAAAACGTGACTTACCGTTCTCGCTTGTCAAAGTTTCTTCAGCTTCGGCTGCTGAAAACATAAAGTGGACACAAAATTTGATGAACAAATAGAAGATCACGTGACTGCTACGTTAACGTGTGGGAATGTATGGTGTTGGCATAGGGACTCTGAAATAATGTACAGTTTAAACGTGTTCATCGCAATGTGCATTCTGTGGAATTCAAAATGTCTTTTATACACTGTAAACTATATTGGATTTCCAACTGTAGACCGAATACACATCTGAAACATCAATGCATTTCACACATTTGACAAACACGAGGAGCTAACAATGCAACTGCCACTTTTACACTGTCACTCACCGACATTTCGAAAGACAACCAACGACACAATGCAGATCAAGTAAGTAATCTTCATTTTGCTGAATGACTTCCTTCTCAAGCGTCTCATCTTTTATAGGCTTGATTTGTCAGTCTCCAGCGAATGAGATTCTTTGTGGGTGGTTGAACTATGTCATTGGTGGGTTTCTTTTCTCTTGGAGAACCCCATAGAAATTATTCTTCTTGTGATAGGCAGGATGCAGATTTTGATTTGATTTGGTGTGACGGACAATGACTCTGAGATTAGTGACAGCCAAGGTCAAGCTAAACTTTGGTGAAGTCGCAAGCCTTGAAGACATATTCTTAATATATTGTTTTCATCAATATTTGCCTGTAATTGCCTGTAATAATTTTGAAATTAGTTTATTGAAGATATTTTCAAGTGAACTTGAAAAAGGATCATGGTGGGTGGCAAAGATCCTTAAAGTGTACTCCAATGCATCAGATGACTGTTTCTGTGACTATGAACACAAATTGCTGGTCATTATCCAGCAAGATTGATTACTTGGATGCTGTATTATGTTCAAATATTTCCCGTAAAAGAAGTGTAATAACGCTTCAAGAAACTTGGCTCCATGATTCATATGATGACAATTTAATCTTACTGAATGGTTTTTTTAATATGTACAGACAAGACAAGGAAGAAGCGAGCTGATTGTGTTGCTTCTTTCATCAATTTTCAGTGGGCCGTTGCCAATATCGTCTGTTTTATATTCTCAGATGATAATACTGACTGTTTAACTGTCAAATGTCGACCTAAACACCAATCTAAGTACAAATTCATTTATATCACAATCATTTCTGTCACTCCCTGTTGTAGCACTTCAGAACTATCTTTGTTTGCAGATGAATTCACTATTTTCTCTGCCGCCTATTTTAGAAACTCATTGTCCATAGTGACAGGTGATTTTATTTCATGTGACTGCAGCTCTCTCACATTTCTAGGTCAGTCATGAAAATTGTTAACATTTCCACCAGACTGGACAATTCTCTCGATCTTGTATTCATAAATGACTGTGAGATATACGAAGCTCGTAAAAGAGCCCCACTGTTCAACTCAGATCATTTTATTGTACGGGTAGCTTCCACTAACCAATACTGAAATATTTTTTGATTATTTGTGTTTATCTTCCTTTTTACTTGGTATTTTTTATTGCATTTTTTTTGTTATTTCTGTGTTTCTTTTTGGTTTTTTGTTGTTATTGTCTCTTTTTTGTTTTTTTAAATATTTTTTTTTATAATACTCCTTTTAAATGTATGATGAAATTAGATGCAATATTGTAGATATGTGCTGAAAATTCCACACTGTACCACAAGTACTGTTTCTGGAATAAAGCGAAATTGTTATTGTTATTGTTATTGTTAAAATTTATGGAAAGTTATACAAGAGAACTTTTCACAGCTTTCCAAGAAAACTGTACATGAATGTTACTCTATGGAGAATGTTCAGAATCTTAAGGACATGCTCAAAGGCACAAGGTGGGACCTGTTTAATGAAGACTCTCTTGATGTCACAATCTCTGATATTACAAGTTATCTCAAATTTTGTCTTGACACTTGTTGTCCCAGAGAAAAGCTCTTCATCAGATTTGACCGTCGCTCCTACCATCAACTTAAAAAGCTACGCAGACAAAAAGAAAAGCTATATAAAATGAAGGACAATACTGGTTTGAAAAGAATTGACATCCTAATAAAATCTGAAATGCACAGGTTGAATTCAATTTACAACCAAAATTTTATATCCTGAAAAAATGCGTCTAATATATGGAAACTTTTCAAAGAAATTACTGGTGGTAAGCAGATGAATAGTATTCATTATTCCTTTGATGTTTGCACACTAAATGAGTCTTTCATATATTCTCCCACAAATGCCAAACTTTCTGGTTTTAGAAGTGTTAATGAAACTTGCTTCCCTGGTTTCAATACAGATGATGTTCTAAAATGTCTTCAGTCTCTGAACCATTCTTCTTCCAGCCTGGGTCCAGACAGTTTGCCTAGTGTTATTCTTAAAAAATGTGCAGACGTCCTGTGCTATCCTCTCATGGACTTCTTTAATGAATCTTTTTCCAGAAATGTCGTGCCAGTCGTTTGGAAGGACATTAAAAATGTACCCATACCTAAGTGGTCCACTGGAACATGTTCAAAATTAGACCTATTTTTATAACCTCTCCTTTTCTAAAAACTAGGGAAACGTTACTCTTACTTATTCTTCAACCTTCACTAAAAGCCCTTAGTGATCCCAAACAATTCGCTTATAAACACAGCAGAAGTAATTTAGATGCAGTTACAGTCTTGTACCATAACATTTTCTGCAGCTTATACAAGAGGGATAAATTTGTTCGCTGCACCTTCCTAGATTACACATCTGCTTTCGACTCATTACCTACATTTTGTTAAACAAGCTTGCTGAAACTCAAATGACTGTTGGGTTGTCAAATGGTCGCATTCCTACTTCTCAGCAAGATAGCAGTACATTGTATGTAAGGAAAATCTACCACTTCTTTGCTTACTGAGGCTGGTGTCACCCAAGGAGCTGTCTCTCTCCTTCATCTTCTCTTACTTCTGGAATGACTTCCCTCATTCTCATGAAATAAACTGTGTTAAGTATGCGGACGATCTAAATATTTCAATGTCTGTTAACTCCCACCTTGACTGTACTAAGATGAATAGCTTTCTATCAGGAATTAGTAAATGCTCTTCGTTTAACGGCCTAAAACTAAATCCTTCCAAATGTCAGACTGTCAATTTCAGTTTCTGATGTGAACGAAAGTTAAATGAAGCCATCGGTTCATATGACCCTTGCAAAATTGATGATATTGATATAGAAACCAAGTTTGAAGTTGAGTGTCTTGGATTAATTCTTTCTTCTGACCTATCCTGGTCTTCCCAAGTCTTAGCGATTTCCCAAAGAATATTTTGTGTGAATTTTTACATCAAGAAGTTGAGGCATTCAGGCACAACCCAACCACTCCTCTTACAGTCTGTCAACTCGTCTATTTTACCTATCCTTCTTTACTGTTCACCCTTGCTTATTCTTTGCTGAATTGCTTAAGAAAGACTATATCATACTTCGTAGAACTCTGAAGACTGTCTATCAGTGAGACGAGTGGTATCTCATTGGGCCATATCGTTGACATTGTCACTGATAAGCACTTGATGTCATGCAACAAATTTGGCAAAGGAAATTTGTCAGGCTGTGAACATCGAATTTACCTGCAGCTCCAACCGTGTGCCTTCTGGTGTAAAACAAGAAGTCTTTTTAGATGACTTTATGCACGTACGTCTAAGTATAAAAATTCCACTATACCATATTTCACGGCACGTACTTTATGCGATGAAAATAGTTTCAAGCATGAACTAACTAACCTTCTTCGCACTACCAAATAAACCATTTCTTCCACTCTTACAGTACCAAACTAAATTGATATTGTATTTCTTATATTTATAATCCTCTCAATTTTTGTTTCAATTTATTTATTTTTCATAAGTGTGAACATCATTTTAGCTGTGTTACAACTGTTATTTTGTCTTTCCCTTTACAACAATATATCAACAGAACATTAGATCCAATAATCTATAACATGCTAAAGTTTCCAAACTGAATCGCCAATAATGTTTGAAACAAACTCACTGTTAATGTTATTATCATATTTAATAATTTCAGTTTGTGCTTCGAATATTTTTGACTTTATATCGTAAACGTGGACAAATTCCCCTAGTTACTTTTGTTTTAATTTTAAATTTTATTTATACTTTAAGTAAATCACATGCAAAATTGCTGAGAATTCCAGTCTGTATTATTAGTTCTGTTTCTGGAATAAAGTAAATTATTATTATTTTGTGAGTCCTCGTCTCTATGCACAAATTCGTTCTTTTCCCAGTGGCTCCCATTTAGAAGACAAGTTTGTATACCAATTAGCCACTGGGACACGATTGAATGACTAGTCCATGAATTCTAAATTCTGGAAATTCACAGTTCCTATCAGGACCACTGATAAGCGTCACTGCCGCATAGCTTGATTTCACCGACATCAACGTCTTATAAATCAACTACTGAAAATCAATCTAATGCTCATCAGTGACTTGTTACAGAAAGGAGATTGCTGGAGTTCTATTGAGAAATCTAAGCGACTGATGACAATGGTTGTAGGTCACGCTAAAATTCATGAAATGTCAGAAGTTGGAATTCAGGAGCTGGACAGTGAATCAAGTCCCAGGTTTTGAATATTACGCGGACTTGACTTGAAACCAGAAGGTACTGGATGCGTAATGTCGATGAGTTCCAGACTAGGAGGAATTGGTTATCCGGTATTCTCTGGTTTCGATGATTTCCTAACTGACATCAAACCTTGTTCAAACTCGGAAAACATTATTATTGTCTATATTTTCACCCTTAAAACATGTTTAATCAACCCTATTCGTTGTTATCTTTTCTATACTGTTCATGTTGTACCACAAAACACTAAATACACTCACAAATGAAATCTGCAGTTTTGTTGGCTATTTGCACTGAGATATATATACACCATCAAATTATTTCACCACGTTTCATCTCATGTTCTCATTGACCAGGCATATTCCAAAATAGGTGACTATGGATCCATCCCATCTTATACGCGTTTCACAGTTAACTTATTGTATGATTCTGATGTGCATTTAATGACTGTTGTTTGCATAGACAAATAATCAATAAGTGTAGGGAAAGTTGGAAAATTGGACCAGACTAATATTCGCTGATATAAAACACGTCAAAAAGAAGCAAAGGAAACCATGAGAAATATGCGGTTTCTGAAACCAGGCAGCCAGTCAGCTATTCACTTTCATACTTAACTCATGTCTAGGTGACATGAAACGCATCAGTTCCAATGTACTTTTTGTTTTGCTGATAGGTAGATATATTCACCACATTTCTACATCCACTATGACTCCATGAGTGAGATGCGAACACATCCTTATGAAATCAGCCTAACACGACAAAATGCAAGTCATGAGTTCCAACGGTAAACAAAACCACGAATACTACGCAATTAAATAACA